GGGCCCGCGAGGGTTAACCCGCGCCCTGGTGGGGTCTGTTTATAACGCGACCTGGTGGGGGGGGGGTCGCTATTTTTTGCACCCCCTCCTATCTCCGAAACTACTGGACGGATCCGCAAAATTCAAACGGCGTTCGAAAGGCCTGTCAAATTTGTCGCAGGAAACCAAATTTCATTGACCTCGGAGTCACCGATGACGTCACAGGTCAGGTCAAAGATGAAATGTTTCTCCGTTCACGGGTGTTTTAGGGAATGCGCTATAACACCGAGGAAAACGCATTTTGTCGAGAATCAGCGGTAGGGCGTCAGTTGCCTAGTAGATATGTTGCTATTAGAGGTCACTGGCAATACCAGGTCAGGTCACAGGTCAGGTCACCAAGGGTCACAGGTCAGGTCACATGAGCCCAACTTTACTAAGGTTGTGTGATGCATGTTTTATGGCCAATTTTTCATTTCCAACTCAATAGTGTTGGTTTTAAGACTATCAGGTACGGCTAAGGTCACTTTCTGGTGAAGTTCAGGTCAAGGTCAGGTCAAGGTCAGGCCAAAAAAGGTCAAATTTTAAAGTTGATGGTTTTGCATAAAATGGGTATTGATTCGATGCAGCTCGTCACGGGGAGCGTACCGGGACGGCTGGGACCACTTCTGCGCCTGCCATCTATCGGGCAGTGTTTGGAACTACAGCGGGCGCAGGCCGGCTGGGCCGCGCGGCGCCGTTACGGGGCTATGGAGGCGAATGAAGTGGTGTAAAACCAGACGAATTTTACGCTTGTAAAGCAAAAAACGAAAAATGTACACTCACCACAGTGTTCAGGAAAGTACTGGGAACAATATGGATATAATTTAAAGCTAGTACGATGCGAACTGTTGGTTCCCTAGAGCAGTATTTACATGCGTGTAGGAGATAGGACTTTAACATTACGGGAGCTTCTAAACTGCGCTCGCAAAGTACTTGATTGTAAATATTTTCATTTAGAGGCAAAAATCTAAAAATGTACAGTCAGAGCGTTGTTCCCAATGCTTCTAGGTACATAATGAGCATAAATTTAGCTCGAAATGGCATCACACATTGGTTCCCAGTCCAGTTTAAAACGACACTTTGTGCCGCAGAGCCTATCTCTTCCAATGGATGGCGGCTGGGTGGTGGTTGTAGTGGTGGACAAGACAATTCTTAAGTGAAATGAAATCATTTGCTTTCAAAGAAGAATTTCGAAGAATTTGTAAAAATTGACAAATGATCGTTAATTACAGTGTATAGTTTCAAGTTCATGGCAAATGAAAATATTTTAATCAATGCTAGTGAACCCCAGTACCGCCGCGCGAGAAAGCAAGTACTCGACGCACGGTCTGCCCGCCACTTCTGAAAATGGTCCGCGGCCGGCCGGCCGCGACCCGACACGGTCTAATGGTGGTCTTTGTTTTGCGCTACGGTGTCTAGAATTGCTAAAAATTGAGTTTGAAAATTTGACGTCATTAATTTTGAACAGTTTTTTTCGCTATAACTTCGCCAAAAAAAGAGGTATCAATCTCAAATTTGGTATGTGGATGGAAGGCGGTAAGGACTATCACATATATTCCGTTTTTTGCGAAATTCAAAAAACTTTTTGGATTTTTCGATAATTATATCAAAAAAATCTATTTTTTGATTTTTGGGGTCAAAATCCAAAAATTTCACAAATCCGAGATAGCAGTTTTGTAGCCCTGTCCAATCTACAGCTTTTATGTCCTTATCATTTTTCTGTATTTGCAAAGCTATAGGCCTGACAGCTGTTCCCGCGAAACCCTTTTTTGGGTCGAAAACGGCAGAACATGACGTCACTCTGACGTCATTTCCGGCCAACCTATCATAGCCATTGGAAAATTTTTTGGTCACAATGTGTAAAATTGATGTCCGGGAGGGTACTGAAAGTTTGGTGACGATCGGCGCAGCGGTTCTGGAGATATATCGAAAAGTCTGGAGGGGGGGCAAAAAATAGCCCCCCCCACCAGGTCGCGGGTTAAACCACTTTGAGGGACACTACCGACACTGTGAGGAGTCAATTATCTCTTTGAGCGTTGAGGGGTGGCACCATTACATTGAAGGGCGCCATGTGAGCAGTTGACAATGAGGAGCGCCTCCGATACTTAAAGAAGAGACGCCAACATTACTCGGGGGGGGGGGGGCAACATCACTTTTATTTTGAGGACGCCACCCACATTGTAAGGGGCGGCACTGTAACTTTAAGGAACGCCGCGGATACTTTAAGGGGAGGCTTCATCATATGGAGGGGCGCTACAAATGGTTAATGGGTGGCAATAGGTATGATATTTAGGGACTCCGATACTTCGAAGGGCGCCACCGTTTGTTTGAGGGTGACATCATCACTTTGAGGGGCACCACCGATACTGTTCGGGGCGCCACCGACACTGCCAGGAGCACTTTGACCGGCGTTACTATCACATTTAAGGGCGCCATGAGCACATTGGGGGCGGCACCATGACGTGGAGGGGCGTTACGGAAGGTTTGAGGGGCGGCAACATCATTGAGGAGCGCCTCCGACACTTCGAGGGACACCAGCATTTCTTTGAGAGGCGGCACCTTGACTTTTGAGGAGAAACCACCGACACTGTAAGGGGCGGCACCATCACTTTGAGGGGCGCCACGGATGGTTTGAGAAGCGGCACCATTATGTATATGGAGGGGCGCTACAGAAAGTTAGAGGGCGGCAACATTGTATTGATGACTGATGAGTTCCTCCAAAACTTTGAAGGGCGCCACTGACACTTTAAGGGGCGGCACCAGCACTTTTAGGGGCGGCAGCATCATTTTGAGGGGCGCCACCGACTCGTTGACAGGAGACACCATCACATTTAGGGGCGCCACTGGCACTTTGAGGGAGGCACCATCACATTGAGGGGCGCAACCGATACTGAAAGGGGCGGCATCATCTTCTTGAGGGGCGGCATCATCTGCTTGAGGGGCGGCTCCATCACAATGAGGGGCTATGTGGATATCTAGAGGGGCGGCACCATCATATTGGTGGGTTCCTCCGACACTTCGAAGGGCGTCACTGACACTATTAGGGGCGGCAGCATCATTTTAAAGGGCGCCACCGACTCGTTGGCGGGCAGCACCATCACATTGAGGGGCGCCACCGGCACTTTGAGGGCGGCACCATCACATTGAGGGGCGCCACCGATACTGAAAGGGGCGGCATCATCTTCTTGAGGGGCGGTGTCATCACATTGAGGGGCTCCACAGATGCTTAGAAGGGCGGCACCATTACATTGAGTGGGGCTACTAACAGATTTAGGGGCGGCACTGTCACATTGAGTTGCGGGATGATCACTTTCTATAGACGGCTGGTTCACTTTAAGAGGCGGCATTATCATTTTGGAGGGCAGCAGCCTCACTATGAATGACGGCACCTAGCCTGCATGTGCGTGCTGCATCCTAGAGGGGGCGGCAACTGGGTCGGCAAACGGCTGTCACTGGGTCGGCATTCTCCGTGACTGGGTCGGCAATTGCCGACCCAGTTAACATGTTAAAATACGCCCTGACGTCACCTCGTTTAGTCATTCTGATTTAAATGGGTTTGTTCGTTGAAAAATCGCTTAAAACTTGGTCTGAACTTTGTTGTGGTGCCTACAGAGTAAAAAGAATCAGCTTTATGACAGTAATGTGGCCTGGGGAGGGAGGTAATTTTGGGCTGTGACGTCACATATTTGAAAGTTTGTGTTTGGAATATGGGAAGCCTAAGATGTTTAATGAAAAATAAATGCCAGAACCGTGTTCCTGGTCATCCAATCTATAAAGTCGGGCACAATTTAACTGGTTTTAACAACATTTTAGAAGGTGGGATAGTCCCTTTAAGAACATCTCCAAATTTATGAGAAAGTTTCGGCTTCGCTTTAGAGATAACCCTTCACTTTAGAGTTCACTTTAGACTTAGAGCAAGACTTCGTTAACTCCCCATGGACTGCGAAGAAGTGCTCCGGGCCGTGCGCCATATTCGTGGACGGGACCGAGAGTGCGTCGATCTTCACTGGGCTGTCGTGGAACCGTTTGTCTAGATAGAGAAAAGTGAACAGACAAAAACCAAATGTCCAAGTCTTCTGGTGTATGTGAATCTGTAAATTATGCAAATATATTGTTTTATATGGTTAATATGGCGATTTTAAAATTGACATTCTTTATGAAACACCCTGTAGACACGCATTTTTTGGCCCCTACGTTCACAAGCCGATAGCGTACGCCCAATAAATCTATGATAACCATTCATCTGATCCATTCATCTTCATCTTTCCATTCACTGTAAAAAATGATAGCACGTTTTGTGTTATATGGCCAAAAACGACTCGGTACAGCCGTATCTCATAACACGCCATCGTGTTTTCTCATACACGGTAAATCCGTGCTACATAACTCGGTATGAGTTTTGACTTTCCAAAAAGTGGTGTTCGGTAACTCGATAAAGACGTGTTACCGAGTTCGATAACTCGCCAACATGTTTCTAGCGTATCGAATAACGTGTAAAATAGCTCGCATTAAAGATGTTAAGTGTTCAATAACACCACTGGTGTTTCTGGGCTCGGATAATTATCGGCTACATAAACTTATTTGTGTTAATATATCCGGAAATTAGATGATAGTAAACTCGCCATAAACGTGTAACGTGTTTCGTAGCTCGGTTCGTGTTCATATACTTCCCGTCCAGTACCTCCTTTTAGAATGTATATTAACGCAAGATGAGCTGCATTACACGATTCAATGATCACGTTGAATGAATATATGAATATATAATTCATGTGGACTTATTGCGATGAAAGGCGTACCTTCTTTGATGCAAACGGGGCTGTAACAGGCCCAGCCGCGTTTAAACAGAGGTAACGTCTTTAACCGCAATAAATCGACATGAGGTATACATTTATACAACTCATTCCACATAATTATTGAGGCGTGTAACAGTTCGTTTTGCTTTAACACACATCCTCGTTAGCCAAGTTCATTAAGTCTCAGAGTACAGATCTACTCATTATATATTTCAACAGATTGTTCACAGTATAAACAATACACATGCGCTCTGAGCCTCATCAGAAGTAACACCACGGCGGACGAGCAGTGGACAGTGGTCCTCCGCGATCAGCAACACTAGTATTGTGAAAGACACCTATGAACAACACGTCTTTGGGCCTGGCGATGGGAGAGTAGAGGTGCCGTTTCACATGCATTCACTGGCGCGGTCTTCAGCTTGTCGAGCCGATCGTCGCAACGATTTTTTTAACGACTTTCCGGTCGACATTTGGGAGAGCTATTGCGTCAATACTAGCTGGGAGTTCTGAGCGCTGGGGCATTGAATTTTCTCATTGAACACCGAAAACATTGCCGCACAAACTAGGAGGCGCACACTCAGAGGCGTGTTGTCTTCGGAGATGGCAGCCTCGCTCCCCTCCACCCATGACACTATAGCGGTACGAGAGGAAATTCTAAAAAGCGTCCAACTTCTCCTGGTTCGTGTCTGAAATAAGAAAAAAATAATGTCAGTAAATGACGAAGTGCATGAATGAACGGCATAATGATACATACTCTAACCTTCGCACGGGTGGGGGGTCGGGGGGGGGGAGCGTTGGCCACACTTGCCAGTTTTTTTTGCGAGTGTAAAAAAAAATCGGCGAGCAGCGCTGCGAAACTTGGTATAGCTTATAATACATCAATTTCACATCGTGAGTAATATTTTCGATCCCGGGTCACATAAGGTCAGGTCACAGTCCAAGTTAAGTGATCATGCCTCTTTAACCCTCGCCCGTATTGGTGTTTTTCCAGCCGCGAACGTATAAGGGGGGGGGGGGCCGTTGGACCCCCCTTGCCGTTTCGCCCCTGATCAAGCTAGAGCTTCGCGGAAAAAAACGAGCGTATTGCCCGTGACGAGAGGAAGCCGATGATACCCAATTTTAAGGTACTAGGTCATCGGTTGACCTTCCAGGTCAGGTCAATGACCCAAAAGTCGGGAAAATCGGGACCTGTTAGAAAGTCGTAAAGCGTGGCTGTTATGGGATTTTTCGGGGTGCTGATCACGAATATCATGTTAATTTTGATCACAGATGATGTCTTCATGCATTTAGGCCAGGTCGGGTCAGGTCAGGTCAGGTCAACCAGTAAAGGTATTCGTAGTAGGTGGCAACCGTCTCTGACAGCTTCGTAACATGTTACGAAGGTGCTAAAACCACTTCTTAAATGTTCATATGGTTGCTAAATTCGAATTCAGCTAAAAAAACTGGCCTAGAAACATGTAAAACTCGAAAAGTGAACCGAGGTCATCAAATGTCTATGACCTGACCTGACCTTCCGGTGACCTTGACACCAACCCTAATGCATGGGAGCAACATCATATCCCATGTTTGAACGCTTAAAACCACGAAAAGACTGCAAACGCGCGGCTAATGCGAGCCGACATACGCCGAATCGCGATTCCGGCCAAACATGGTCTCGAAAAGTAGGTCACAGGTCAAAGGTCATTAGGGTCAGGGTCATGAAAATTTCAGGGTAGGTGTAAAATTGATTAACGCGAGGGTACTGAAAGTTTCGTCGCGATCGGCCGCTTTTTACGCGAGTTATTTGCGAAAAACCGAGGGGGGGGGGTCCGTTCGACCCCCCCCCCCTATACGGGCGAGGGTTAAACTTTGTGATTCAGTCATTTCTAAAGTATATTCGTACATCCCAGAAGTTTGAAACTCATGTTATTGCATGAGCTTGTCAGTATGAACAATTTGCATTTCTCGGAATTTTGATATCTGTGACCTAAGGTCAGGTCGATTTTGTGACCCCTCCATTGACTTTTAGTCAATGGAAGAAAATTGAAATCCGCTTCTTTTGGCCGTAAATACCCTCAAACATCGGGACACAGATGAACATGGCACAATGAACCGGAAAATTGCACTTGTGACCCCCTTAAATGCCTCTGAGGTCATCTCAGGTCACGAACCGTCTCAAACAGTTTCTGAAAACACCAGGAATGTGTTCAGCTTAACAATACGAATCGAATGACTTGCAACATGACCTCTTCCGTGACCTTGACCTGAGGTCAAATTTTTAAGTTGACCTTTTCGGGTCAACTTATAGGTTATTCGACGCGTCTCCCCGACGTCATTTTTCTTTGACCTATGACATCACAGGACGGCGAGCAAGGTCAAATTGTAGCAGTTTATAATGACAAACATTTTATTAAAGTGACTTATCATTTAAAAGAGACGACAAAACGTTGATACCTATTTAGTCAGGAAGAGAGGGGTAAGTATCGTAGATATTACTCTAGACTACTTTCAGTACCTAACAAGTGCTGAAAAAAATCGGACGTCACGAGAACAGTCGCTTTTTATTTTTTAGTCTTTCAAATAACTATATCACTGGCAGTTTTACAGACACATATTTTGTTAATTTTTAGGATGTGTATGGTTACGAAACGGGAGATGTTCAAAACCGTGACACTTTTTTGAGACACCCTGTAAAGGCAATACTGAATAAGGATCTCTGCGACATATGCTCCGTTTTTAACTTCCCTAAATTAAAAAAAAAAACTGGAGGAGTTTTGAGTGTAGATTTAGAAATATCAAAATATTGATATTTCTTTTTCGGAAAATTTGTGGTAGCAGTTTCCTTTGCCATGCATTTTGTACCTAATGTGCGATTTTTGAGTCTTTTGATTGAAAATCTATTTTGTGATTTATTCCCGTGAACGACTTTTTTATTTTTTAGACGGAAAATGTCCGAACATGACCTCAGTTTGACCCCCATAACTCATGACCCAAGGTGACCTAGGACGCATTTTTCAGGAGTTGAGTGAAATTGATGTCCGGAGGAGTACTAGAATCGGCGAGTTAAAAATCGCGGCCGTTTTTGAGTTATCAGCGTAAAACAACAGGGGTGCCTCCCACTCCCCAGCGGGTCGCGGGCGTCGCGGGTTAAGCTCGCACCCTTTACTGAAGTGACCGTCCCTTGACCTCTAAATGGCCATTCCCTGCCATTATACTCTACACGAAAGGCCAACGTTTATAAACTAACACATACTTGGCGATTAGGTAAGTTCACCATCGACTCTATAGTTTATACCTATTATCGGTAACGTCCAACATCAACCCTGATCAGTGGCGGATCCAGGGGGGGGGGCAAAATGGGCATTTGCCCCCCAAACGGCATAATTTTAACATTACGCCTATGGACGATGCATGGAAAGAATCGATAAATTGTTATGGTTTACCCCCCAAAAACTCTGAGCTGGATCCGCCTCTGACCCTGATCAACCCAATAGCCAATGCACATCAAAACAAGATACCTATAAGAACCATCAAAATACAGACGGCTGAGTTTCGGCGTCCGGATCCGTCCGCCGGAGGAGGCCATCAGCCGTCGCTATGGCAACGGCCTGGCGCTTGGACAGCGGGACAGCTGACCACGGGAGCGGGACGAGAGAGGGAGAGCGCAGGGGTAGAGCGGGGCGCCGGGGCGCCCGGGCTCTCGTCGGATTTGGGTAATCGGTTATGCTTTTGACGATAATAAATATGTTAAACATGTGATTTTAATTTTCAATATCGGCTTCATATTATAGAAGACAAAACCCTAGTCTACTAAAATACAACAGAGTCCCATGCAGACACTAATTGTGATTCGTGATATGTGAAATAATAAATCGGCAGAAATAGGACAATACCTTCTTATCCTGTTAGCAGTTGAGCCGCATTCATCAAGGAATGAAGTCCTGCCTCACAGTCTTGAGCTCTGACTGTGGGACTTGGAGATTTACCTTCATTCTGCTCATCTTGAGCCGTATTCTGAAACAAATAAATTGTGTAAGTTCGCAGCCAAACAGATGTCTACCTACTTCTTATCCACAGACAAATAGAAAAGCAGAGGGAGATACCATGGAAAAGAGAGAGAGAGAGAGAGAGAGAGAGAGAGAGAGAGAGAGAGAGAGAGAGAGAGAGAGAGAGAGAGAGAGAGAGAGAGAGAGAGAGAGAGAGAGAGAGAGGGCAAGAGAGAAACCAGGCAGACTAATTATAACTAGCTGGTAGATACATGGCAAAAGTTGAAAAGGTACAGTCAAAATTATTCATGTAAGTAGCATGTTTACAAACGCACACATAGCCACCAGTGGTGGAGTGGCAGAATGAGAATCAGGGCCGAGGGCTCCTCCTTTCCATCCATAACGGCACACTATGTAGTCACTACACGGATAATATTTATGTAACCACGCCTAAAAGACATTTAATATCAATGATGTTATTGCTAAGAAAAATTTGGAGCAAGCATCACTTGTACTTACCAACAAGACGTCACACGCAGCACAGACACGACCTCTCTGGATCGCACAAAGATGGCGACTGAGGCCCACGCGGCGCTGCATTTGGCGCGAAACTGAACCGAGTAAGTTAACAACCCACAGTGTTAATTGGTGTTAATGTCCCTCAAGATCGCGGCCCAAATAACCCCATTCGGGTTTTTAAACTCGACGCAGAGGGGTAAAACACGGCAACGTGTCATTCAACACGGTAGAACCGTGCGCAAAAATGCTTCCACAAAATCGTATTCGTGTTTCGGAACACAGTGTCCGCCAATTGCGGGTATGAATACATGGCGATTACTCGAACAGTGTCATTGTACATGGGGATTCCGAGCTAGTTCATCCTGATTTGGACTAACCGTGTTTTGCTTCGCAATAAGGTTTAAATTACTCGATAAATACGGATTCATTAGCAAGTTAGTTGTTTGAACACATCGTTAAAGTGAGTCAGAAAACTCAAACTGTGCTAACATTTTTTACAGTGTTGGCTACGTCCGCATAGTTCTATGCATTAGTGATGTCAATCACAGAAAACCAGAACGCCGATACCAAACCAAATACAAACCAAAACCATTAGAAAATACCGAAACCGAACCGATCGGTTGGACTGCAAACATTTCTCTTATGCAACATGTTCATTAGAAGAATGCTTACCTCTGATTTTTTAGGTGCACGCCGTTGCGAATGTATCCGAAAAAACATAAAATGACAGATGACGATGACGCGAAAGTTGAAGACGCCGATGGGATCCAAACCACCAACCTCAGTATCACCTTTTCGATACCGTAAAGTGGGACTCTTTGAAACGGACTTTACAGTTTTTGGCCTCTCCCTTTAAGACGGTTCATATTTCTAACAGCATATAACTTGCAAAAATGTAGTTCTCTGCAAGCTCTTTCATACAGTATAGGGGCATTTTGGTTCAGCTAGTAATATTGATTAAGACTATTTTTTTTTTTAGTTAAAACCTGTCTCAAATAGCCCCATAGAGTAGCCCCATCAAATAGCCCCATATTTGAGACAGTTTTAGTTGCAAATACAGGGTGTTCACTAAAAATTGAGACAAAGTTTAGCAGGCTGTATCTTCGGTAAAAATGTACCGATTTAAACAAACGAGGCATTGTTGTAGGTAATGCACATTGCATCTGCTGCAAACCGTTGAGCGTCAACAGATTTGCCTGATTCCCGTAGGTCATTTTTTGGACATTTTCTTGTAAGTGTTTTCACAAGGTCTGGCACCAGTGGACCGTGAATTTGGCCAATTCATGGCGGTAATGAGCAGCCAGTTGATATTTTGTATCAAATTTAAAGACACCAATATACGTAATTTGCCTTCGGCAAATCACATTAGATACTCATTTGTTAATTTCAGTCGTGGCAAATGGCTTATCGGGCCTTGTTTCAATCATGCAATTTTTACATCGGCCGGAGCCCCCAAGGCGCCCCTTGATTAGTGTGCTGGCGCGAGGTCGGACCAGAAGATCACCTTCTGGTTACATATGTTGTTCTGCATGAACCTCTAGTGCTAAATAATACACTTGACTCAGAAAGTATCATATTGTAAAGGACCGGCCTAGAGGAATAAAGTCGAACTGATGATATGCTCTGAAATAACACACGTACCACGGCATCCAGCGTTAGCTAGGATGCTAAATGGACGTTAGCTCTTGTATCATTGATAACATCACTACAGAACACTCCATTGTCTAGTAAATTGTCGCCCTTTGACAAAAACGTGATTTTTCTTCCTTAAATAGATCGGTCGTTTTCTGCAATTTGTGGCGCTTTCTTGACCTTTGTTTATTTACTTCTCTTGCCTTATGTTGTTCCCAGTCGCTTCGAGAAATCATTTACGCCGGTTGTAACTCATCCTAGCCTCAGGTGTGATATATGTTCTTCGCTTAGGCACAGTTAATACCTTACTGATCGGCAGCATTGCATCGTGAGGTGCCAAAAAGCCCCTCCACGTGCATTTTCGGGGCCCCGACCTTTCCTTTCGTCAGTATCTTCACATTTGCACCACTTCAGATTTTCTGACTCCTGACTCTGACTTTCTGACCCACTAGAACTTTCGTCCCACCATACGGTATGTAACTAATTTCGACATTTTAAGCTTTCATTAGGTATTTGTACGTGCCAGACTCTCCCATTGACGTACTATTTTGGGAAAGCGTGCCAATTGGCTTTCGGTGGGCCTTATTTAAAACGACCTCCAACGCGACTGTTTTCATTACACCCATGAAATTTTATGTTCGGTATGATACAAAAATGTCCCTTTTATCTCCATGCTAAGTTGCATCGTAATAGCTTGCTTCACTTTTGATGTGCAGTCATTCAAAGTTTGTGTCAATTTTTAGTGAACACCCTATAAATTGAAGAAAATCGGTCAAGCTAGAGATGATTTTTTAAATGCCATACAATTGGAAATTCAATTTTGATCATTTGGCAACAATTGTTTTTGCAAAGCCTGTTAGGTACATGTCCTTTATATTCAATCTTATCATTTTTTCGTAGGACACTTCATTTCGGTAGGGTATAAAATTGCATCACTATAGGTATGCTAAGGTTGGTTATTATAATATGATGTGACCCTAAACTTTCAAAATGACAGGATGATCATCAAGAACTATTTTAAAGTCAACGACAGTAAAATTTTGAAAGTAAGTTTTTGTATGTAGCCCTGGTGACGTGAAAACAGATATACTGAAAGTCGGTGGGGCTATTTGAGACAGGCTTGCTACCAATTATGAAGCACACCGTAATGAATCAAACAAGGCAAAATGTTTCCTAAAGCATTTAAGTGAATGGTTTGCATGATTGTTCCATTGTTCATCTCCATGCGAAGAAATAACCGAAAAATATTAAACGGTTTTGATTTTATGCCGATTTTCCTCGATCGCTGCATGCGGCATCAATTGGCCGGTTACCCTACCACATCAAGTACTGGTGGGGTAACCGGACCGTTTTCACATCAAGTACTTGGATAGGCTCATCAACAGTACGTTCATGTGTTAAGTAACCTTCAATCATAGAAATAAAGACTAGAAGGGACAGCTGCCTCTGCGGCATACGTGAATTGCGCCGCCATTGAACCACAGTCAAAGGCTGTGGTTGTTTACACGGGGCCCTAATGGCGAAATCGTATAGTTGGGTGGTTTCGTGCTCAATTCTATGGAATTGAAGGGGTGTGTGGGCATTTCGGGTGGTGTCCCAGGAACAAAATTCATCAGAGAAGACGATGAAACACATTTTGGGTACGTGCTTTGATGTTTTCTATGATTTTCGGGAGGGAGGTTAAATATGAGCACCTCCACGCGGATGGGACTTGGAACAGTTGTGCTGTCTGTGAAAGGGTGCAGGGAGGCTACGGCGAGCATCATTAGAAATGGAATTGTTCCAGACATTAAATAATTTGGCATTTGTTGGTAACCATTCAATGACCTCTGAACTTCTTAGGTCAAACCGAATGTTTTCAGTTTTCACATTTGACTATGAATTTGCACCTCGAATGTTTACGAAAATTCAGCAGAATATATGCCATACCTATCATAATAATAAATGATGCGAAAAATATTTTTAGGAAATTATTGCTTTTGAAAACCAAAGCAAACCTAACCTGAACTGACCTGACCTAATATAAAGCAATGTGCATTTCAATCCTGTACTGTCGGTTAAAAGCGTTGACCTTTCATGGCCTTTAACTTTGACCTCAAATGTCACCCAGGCCTAAAACTGCTAGATGTGTTTGTTTTTATAGGTGCTGACTGCTGAGAGCCCACCAAATTTCATAAAAATCGAAGGGGGTCGGTGTATGCTGTACGATCGAATCATTTGACGCAGAATGACCCAAAGGCCACTTGCATATAATTTTTCGTGTTCTAATCTAGTCGGTAGTACAATGAACCGCCAATAGTAGAGGACTCTGAGGCTCCCTGCAGGTACTTTTACAATGCTCTCGTGCTTTGCAGGCAGCCCTCCCGAGCGCGCGACGGCCGTCGGGTTCCGTATCGGTGACCCAGCTGGTGATGGCTGCGCCCGAGCCGCCGGCCGTGAGCCCGACTGAGCTGACCGGTCCGACCGACACAGCGACCCCGACCTCCGGGTGAGTGAGCTCGTCCCAGGCTGCGGGGAGCCGGGAGTGAGCACGGATACTGCTGGCACGAGGGACTAGTTCATCCCCCTGGTCTGTGATGGTCGGTGTTCTTCCTGAGTGGCATTCTCAGTAGGTAGGTACTCAGGGTATCACGGGCGTAGGAACCAGGGTTGTATACCAATCAAGTCGATTGAATTGATTGATTTGATTCAGCGCGTATTTTGAGTTGATTGGATTGAGTCGATTGACTTTTCGAGATGACTGGTTGACTGACTCGTTTGACTTTAGCGACTGGTTGACTGATTTGATTCCCGAAAATTAGAGTGACTCATATGATTGAGTCGATTGAATGGAAAGTTGAAATAAATTTTAGTTGACGAAAAATAATGACACCAATTGATGACATCAAAGATCACAAAACTACACTGAAAACTGCTTGTCATCACAACTGCAATATGGAGTAGATGGCCAAATAAAGAACAGGGCCTAAACATGAACAGCCAACTTTGACTTTCAACTGCAATAACTGCTCCCAGGGGCGGATCCAGGAATTTTCGGGAGGGGGGGCGGCAAGTCGAAATAGGGGCGACCTGGCAATCCGGGGGCGCTCCATACAAAGGGGGCGCCAAACCGTCAAAATCGGGAGCTAAAAGCCCGCGCCGTGCTAGGGGGCCTTATCGCGCTCCCCCTCAGGTTTTTCGCAAATATCTGAAAAACGACTGCGCGCAGCGCCGCCATTTTCAGCATACCTTATCATGCATCTTTTTTGCACATGTTGTAAAAATGTCTGACGCGGGTGATGGAAGGTCAGGTCACCAGGTTATGCCAAGTGACCCAGCCTAAGAAAAAGTTCAAATGCTTACCATTGCTATACCGACTGAACGATTGCTTTGAACCTTTCAGCGATTGATGAAAGCAACACTATTCATGAAATGTATATCTCGGAATTTCGATATCTCTGACCTAAGGTCAGGTCAGTTGTGCGACGTCTCCATTAGATAGGTAAGTATAATTAAGTCTTTGGGAGAAAACTGAAAGGCATCTCTTTTGGACGAGCGCCATTCTAGACAATATCAAACATTGGGATACATATAAAATTAGCACACTGAATAAGAACATTGCACCTAGTGTGACCACTCATTATGTCCCAGAGGTCATCCCATGTCATGAAAGGTCCGCAGCAGTTTTTTTTAAAAATAACTTTTGATAGATTCAAGCTAGAGCGATAAAAACACCTCAGCTGTGTTCAGCTCGACGATACGCATCGACTGCTATGCAGCATGACCTTTCCCGGTCAGGTCATGACCTTGACCTGAGGTCAAATTCTCAAAATTACCCTTCATAAGGTCAACCTTTAGTTTGTTC